TAGGGAATCATTTAAAAATACCATCGACAACTAGTCGACGCACAGAAGCCCTCTTTTGCCGTTTAAGAGTAGATTTTCCACAGTTAAACTCTTATCTGTTCCAAAGAAAATGTGTTACATCTCCCTATTGCCTCCACTGTTTATCTCTGTCTTCACCAGTATCGTGTAAAGAAGACTGTAATCATTTTCTATTTGATTGCTCTAACTATTCTTCGCATAGAAACGTTCTTATTAATCAATTTAAAATACTAAATATTCCATTTAATAAAAACGCTATTCTATTAAGATCATCTTTCAACAAAACTAATTATTTCAAAATATATGAGGCTGTATGTCAATTCATAGCTAACACCGCTCGTTTTAAATAATCTCCAAATTCCATTGTGCTACCAAAAACTTACACTTCGCGCTTACTCCTATGACTCTCGCTTTTACGTGTGATATCTCAACAGACTGTGGTCTCTCTCTCTTCTCCATATGTTTTTTTCCGCGTCATCTTTACAGTAACGATATAAACTTGAGATTTCTTACTCATGTATTAAGTAAACTATGAACATGTAATGTGACAATTGTCTCGATTTGCTCTGTATTTCACTGAAATAAAAAAGTTTATATAAAAAAATATATAATCTTGATAAATACTGCAACTAACTCGACACTCAAAGCATCTGGGTTTAGCGCTATAAAACTTAAGAAGATGTATCAGGGTACAGTATACATCACGTGATAAACAGCATAGTCATCAACAGTCGATCAACAATTTGCATAGATATATCGAAACTCATTCGTACCTGGATAAAAGCAAGGTATGGATTTCTATTGCGATAAACATGGTCTTTCTGGCGGTAGGCATTGACTCATCGCTGCAGTGAGCTATGTCTCTTATCGCGATCTACTTCAATATTTTTTTATCTAGATGAGTGAAAGCGTTATCTACATAATAATTCTGTCTCGATATAGCGTAATAAAATTTCAACTAGCTATATCGAAACACCAATTTTTATCGCAATAGGTAGGTAGCTTATTCCGATAACGTATATAGCATGACATATCGAAGTAGATCTATTAGGTCTCGATAGTGAATTTATCGCAATAAATATGATAAGTATCGTGATATTGCCAATTTTTTCCACCAATATCGAGTTATATCGCCCGATAGTTGCTTAAAAAGTCCTCATGGGATATATGTTAAACATGATAGATATGTCTTAATCTTGAGATATTATATACGAATATAGATAATAGTTAAATAAATCGAGATAAAATTGTTTTTGTATAAATAGTATTTATAGCTAGACGTTTCAATTTATTAGCTAACTTTTCATCAGTAGTATAACATTCAATTCATAATTAAAAACATAATCAAATATTAACGTGTAACTAACGTAGTTTTGTACATAATCATTAACTTATGTTGATAGTAAACGAAAATTTACAAACGTGATACATAACATGCTTTATTCCTTATCTTTCTATGATTTTTCATCTAATGATTAGTCACTAATCATTGTTAGTATTCAAATATTTGTTAGTACAATATTGATTCCATTATGACAGTAAAAAAACCAAATGATATAGTTTAATAGCTGAATCAGAAAAAGATTATTTTTATTATTTTAGTTAAACAACATAATGAATGGTTTGATAAATGCATTGATATTATTTATCCAATAATTGAATGGTTAAGAGATTATCAAATTGATAATGTAAATGAATTAATTTTTGATCTACAAAATAAAAATGATAAATCAACATCGCTTATTCAGGTTAGTGATCAGCTATGAAAGACATCCCGTACAAAATAAATATTCTAAACTCACCGATAGATTTCTACTTTTCTTCTGTCTTAAATATATGATAATTTAAACAAATGGTTGAGAAAATATTAAAATTATTCAATGCTTTACATCGTTTATGTCGTCTATTTAATTGTTTAACAAAATGACATCGAGACTTAGTTGTTAGCCGCATGTTGAACCAATGAATAAATGGTTCAATAATTATCTATCATGGCTGGTTGCTGTATTTCGTTTTCCCCCTGACAATGGCAACACAGCTTTGTGTTATGAAATTGGCCAACAAAGGTAAGAGCATAGTAAATCAGATTTTAGAAAAACATGTTAAAGAACAACAAATGATGGCTCAGTTGCAACAACAAAGTGCTGATGATACGTCACAACAGCCAGTGATGTTAGTGTTACTGCAACAGAGGGTTAAGTGGAAAGTGGTTATTTAGACAAAAGAGACAATTGACTGTGCGTGTGAGTGTGTGTACACTGAATCGTTTGCGCTAAGTGTCTGTTTGGGCTTGGTGTAATATGTAGAAAAGAAATTTTTAAATATAGGTGAAAAATGTATTTTCTCCTGAGCTAATAAGAAAAAAGAGTATAGAATAAAAGTTGTGGTGTCAAAACTCGGTTTTCTACAAAACTTAATCCCTTCAATAGATGAAATATGACCAAAATAGTGTCCGGATGGTTTCTCTGTATTAGAAAACTAGCAAAATTTAAAAAACCTAGGACTGTTAACCGTTATTTCAATGTTATTGAACGCTTAAAAAGACACGTACTTCTTTGTTTATTTTAGCTTATGAACAATAAAACGAAAAAATATCGCATATATTCTAGATGCATTCGGGCTTTATTATACTGTGGAAGAGTGTTCTCTACTTCTTTTTGAGTCATATGAAAGGTATGTGCGTGTTAGAAACCCTTTTGATATTGAAGGTTTCAGTTTACGTTCCGATTCTTTCTAGACGATATATCTTGCTGATTAACAAAAAAAACCAAAAATAGTGTCTAGATACAGGTACCGACGGCCAACGAAGATATTATTAACCACAGCAATGCTTTATATTTGGG